TACTATGCACATAGCATATGAAACAAGGCTAACGTATTCCCCATATTTATTGATGATCGACAATTCATCATAAAAAAAGAATGCTTATTGACATTTCTTCATAGCCATCTCTAGACAAGTATTTATACAGCTAACAGACAGCAAATGCTCTAACTTTAATATATAAATACAAACACGGTAGCCAAGATAATGGAGATATCCTGCAGCTGAGCTGACCCTGCCTTGACACTGACGGGAGCGAGCGGCGGAGACACCTGTAAGTATTTACCCATTTGGTAATTTTTTTATTTGTATTGATATATTTGCATATATCTACTGCTTGCTAGCAGTAGATATATTTCAAGAAATGTGACTTTAATAGGTACTTTGGCACAAACTGAAGAGCTATACCAAAATACTTTCAACTGTAAATTTAACAGACCAAAAGGGAGGCAAATAAAAAAAGTTAATTGTTAGCGTTTACATAGGCTTCAACATTCCATCTGATTTGTATGTAGTCATAAAGAGCTTTGCACTACACGGTTATTGATACATTTTGCTGATTCAACACCACATTTAACCTGGTGAAATAAATCTAACTGAGGTTTCCAAAATGAGATAACAACCTGGTTTATAGATATATATCTATAAATACTATAAGTGTGTATGGAAAATTGCTCAATGTATTAAACAAAAAAAAAAATGGAAAAGTATTCTAGAAACGGAATATTTTTCTAGAATACTAATACTAATAATAATAATTGGAGAAAAGAATTACTCAATATTCTGTAAAGCGTTATTTTAAATGCGTATTTATATATTATACTGGGGTAATGATTCTGCTACTCCTGTGGCTGCAGCATGTAGTTGCTTTAGCAACCATGCCTAAGTTGATTTCTCTAGCAGCAAACAGACGTCATCAATGAATATTACTGTGACTAGCACAGATCACCACAAGCTTTACCACTAAAGTCATAGAATGCACTACTTTAAACTGATTTACTTTCTAAAGGGATTCAATGAGGACAAACCTGGTGTCAGACCCAGCACACTAGGGTGGTAGCTCTGACGTGTCTGCGTGTAAATACAACCTTTTTAAAAGGAAACAATATCAGCCAGTATTTTTGTAAAGCAACGATATAAAATATTCTGTATTCTTTTAGAGATATTTGATTTTATTGTATTTAACATAATTTTAAATACCAATTATGCCCTGAAGGCTATAGCAACCAAGCAAAAAACAGTTCTGGTGTGTCAAGCCCAAGCAAACCAGTTTAGGACCTTGGATGTTCCATGCACTGTATATCGTAGAGTCCTTCCTTACTGGGCACATGACTAGGCATTTACCTGAATCAGTGTCGCTCTGAGCAGCTTTCAGGACTGACTGGAAGAAAAATGTGTTTATGCTCAAGACTTGTTGAAATGTAAACAGAATGCGATACATTGTAGTTATCTTCTGATTTCAGGAGCTAATTACAATGTACAGTATTTACTTTTTGTTACACAGATGTTGCTAAACCAAACTTTAAAATAGCTAAAAAAACACAAACCTTTTTGTTCAATAAGAGGCATTTCCCATTTAACCCCTTATTAACTTATTGTTATCCCTAATGATCCTAACTAGCACAAATAACTATTTTCTCTGCCTGCACTGCTTAGCTATTTTTTAGTTCTTTTTTATTTTTATATTGTTTGTATAAAATGTTTGTGTTTTCATTTAATTACATTTTTGTAGCATAAGCATAAAGAAATACACGAAACTACACAACCAACCAGTTAGATATCTAGGCTTCTAAAAGCAGATGATGAAGTTGTACAGTCAGGTTCTGTGTAGACACACAAGATGCACAATTACTCTTCTGGTG